ATTGCTGTTTTATAAAAAAACATTTATCTTATTTTAGGTGACCTCTCCATCCGAGTTCATCTACAAAACCCACCGAGGCTTATCATGTCACTTCGAGATACCAAACCACAACACTTTGTCAACACAGCTGGACTACCTATCAAATCTCACGCCCCACAGCCAAACCTACAACAAAACCTCCAGAAACAAAAGAGATCTCCTAACCAGCCTGGATGCCACCAAAAAATTCCAAATGAACTACGATGAGTACCTCCTTCGCCAAGAGTTCCACAAAAGAAATTACAAACACGAAGCACTGATGAGAGCCCATAATTTGAGGAAACATAAACTAAATAGGCAGCACACGAATGTGAAAGTTTCTAAATTGATCACGAATCAGGATAAATGTGAATTGATCAGGTTTTATGGATGGATGTTCACCTTGGCTTATATAGCTTTTGTGATTTTTTTGGTGAGGTTTCTGATTTTGTGCGAGTCTGCTGTTTTTACGATGTCTCTGATCACTATGGCGTTGCCTTTTGCTGGATTGTACTGGTCGGTGTTCAAATTGGTGCCTCAGGGGAATGTCGGTAAGTAGAAAAGATTAATGCAGTAAAAAAGGATTAAAAATATTTTTAATATTTACAATTACAATAATGTAATTAAAGTCATACTTTAAATATGACATGATCGGTTTGTCATTGTAATTAGCATTTTGGACTTGAAACTTTATTAAAGAAATGAAGTAGTTTCCGATCAGTAATTATCGTTCACACAGTGTACTATGAAATATTGCTTAAAATCATAATAATTTCCAACGTTTTTTTAACTGACTATTCATGGTTTTCATTTCAAGTGCAAAAATATTGTCACCTAATTGTCTATTATGGCCTCAAATATTTTGTTTGATGTCTTCTACAAAGTCTAAAGATTTTGTCACATCAACAAATGAATATTTTTTAGAATTATAATAATTTACTAAATTTGTTCCAACTTATTGATCAATATTTTCATTATTCTAAAGCGATTTAAGTATACATTTGTGACCACACAAAAACTCTATCTATTACACAAAATTACTCTATCTATTTGTCTATTTTAGACCTTGAATATTTTTTTTATATCCTTGTGGATGGATTTGTTTGTAGGGATAACAATCTCGAGTAATTTCATTAAAACTAGCAATAAATAAACTGCATAGATGTCCATTATGAAATATATCTGTATATAAATGTTTTCTCGTTTTCTACTTGTCGAGACCTTTCAAATGATACCCCACATGCCATAAGAAATACAATCTAAAAAATTTTAAGTAAAACTTCTTTAGGCACCTCGGCTATAAATTTGTAAAAAGTGTTGGTTTTAATATTTGCTAAAGTTTTACCCGTTAATTAATAAAAAAAAATAACATTCTAATATTGTTTGCAATAAAATATAACGTTTTTATTACAAAGATACAATCGAAAAATCGTAAAACTTTTTTAGACACCTCGGCTATAAATTTCAATTATAATATTGTTTGCAGTAAAATATAGCGTTTTTATTACAAATAATCATTTTTTGTGAAATTCGTTTTCTACTCGTCGAGACCTTTCAAATGATACCCCACATGCCATAAAAGATCCAATCGAAAAATTTTGAAGTAAAACTTCTTCAGATTCCTCGGTTACAAATTCGTAAAAAGTGTTGGCTTTAATATTCGCTAAAGTTTTACGCCTCAATTAATAAAAAAGAAATAAAGTTTAACATTCTATTTTTTGCAATAAAATATAACGTTTTTATTACAAAGATAAAATCAAAAATTTTTGAAGTAAAACTTCTTTAGACACTTAAGTTCGTAAAAAGTTTTGATCGAATTTTAGTATTTGCTGCAAAAGTTTTACTCAATTTTTTAAGCAAAAAATCTTTAAATTTACCATTCTAATATTTTTTGCAATAAAATATAGCGTTTTTATTACAAAATAATCATTTTTTGTGAAATTCGTTTTCTACTCGTCGAGACCTTTCAAACGATACCCCACATGCCAATAAAGATACCATCGAAAATTTTTGAAGTCAAACTTTTCTAGACACCTCGGCTACAAATTCGTAAAAAGTGTAGGTTTTAATATTCGCTAAAGTTTTACGCCTCAATTATTAAAAAAAACAAATTTAACATTCTATTATTTTGCAATAAAATATAATGTTTTTATTACAAAGATACAATTGAAAAATTTTGAAGTAAAACTTCTTTAGACACCTCGGCTACAAATTCAAAAACAGCGTTGGTTTTAATATTCGCTAAAGTTTTACGCCTCAATTATTAAAAAAAAAGAATAAATTTCAACATTATAATATTGTTTGCAATAACGTTTTTATTACAATATAATCATTTTTGTGAAAATCGTTTTCTACTAGTCGAGACCTTTCAAACGATACCCCACATGCCATAAGAAATACCATCTAAAATTTTTAAAGTAAAACTTCTTTACACACCTCGACTACAAATTCGTAAAAAGTTGTTGATTATAGTAGTTGCTACAAAAGTTATACATCCCAATTATTAAAAAAAAGTCAAATGATTCTACAAACTATTGTCGTGCTTGATCTCTTATTTAGAGTAATAAATCTGAATATCAATTCATTCTGCATATTTATAACAATGTGAAACTTTGTAATACTTTACGTTCAGGATTCAGTAAAATGAAATTCTAAGCTTTGACATTTGAACAAGAACAGTTGTTTCACTCGTCAAGTTATTGAAATTAACATACATTTATTGACTGTTTGTTTGTTTTGACTATTTCGCTGGCGATACAGTCTTGTTCTTGAGCAGCTGTAGTATGTGTCTAGCTTATAAAAATAATTTCTAAAAACATATAGTAACCACGAATAATACAGATTATTTTAATAAACTTACGTTTCTTACACGGCACAGATTTTTCATTCGTTATTCGCTTTTTTCCGTTGCATTTGCACAGATTTACTCCCTAGTCGCGCCTAAAAAAGTTTTCCTTCAAACACATTTTTACAATTATCACCTAATAGATTTTGATTTCTTTTTTGTGATTTCAGCTATAGTCGAATGGGGGCCTGCTGTTACTGGTGAAATGATTTGCTGTTTACTCGGATTACCCATAGTTATGCTGGGTACAATTTTGTTATGCAAAGCACATTTCAGAGACTGCAAGCAAATAAGTTATAGGTAATAATTATATATATATATATATATATATATATATACTAGCTGACCCGGAATTCGTCATTTTGCCGTCAAATTGAATTGACACATTTAAATATTCAAAAGTTTGTTATATTATTACCGCATTATTTTTTTAATTACGAAGAAAAATCCCATAATTCATTTTAACTATATTGCTATTGGCATGGTCAACGAATTGACTGATATTGAAAAAAAAATTGAGAGAGTGGAAAATGTTACAGCTTTGTATGGTACCTAGTTCCCTATCAAAAACTGTGGAATTTTCAGATTTTAATATTTAATTTCTCATTTTTTGCAAAAATTACTCCTTAAAAAAGCTATTTATAAACTATGCATCGGGGATTTTTTTTACAATGGTAAAATAGGAAGGGTGTGCAACATTGATAAAAATAAATTGTTTTTTTTTTTAAGTAAAATTCATGCTTTATTATTAGGTCAGGAGAATGTAAAAAAAATTATCAACTAGTTGGTACTGGTATTTTGCCTTGAGGCAAGTTACATGAACTTCCCGATATGTGTAAATAATCGACTTGATCAATAAAAAATAAATTAATTTAGTGGATTTATTACACATCATTGCAAACGAACGAACGAACACGTTAACTGGGAGTATTTTCTAAGAGCATATTTTCAAAAATCAATAATTATAATTATAATTGAACCAGTTTCCGTAGGACTTTAATAGTTTACTATGTTCAAGACCAAGTATACTATCGTTATACCAACTAAATCATATAATTTTAATTTGAACAAACGTCAAGAAAACTACTCATTTTCTCAAACTTTGATGAATTTTTAAAATTAAACTACTTGTCGTAAGGCCGTAATATTTCAGTAAGTTCTATAAGACCATGATATATATCGCCAAAAAAAGTTCCATAAAAATCGACTCAATTTTTTTTTTCAACAGTTAATTACAAGAAAACGGTTCGGTAGATTTTCACCTAAATCTAATCATTATATTCCCAACTAATGTCTTTCGAACAGTTTTTTGATTTTTAAAATCGATTCGGTAGTATGAGCTTAAATGTGGACGAAAGGTTTAACACTTGTTTCCAAATTACAAAGAAACGGCTTGGCAGATCGTCGCACAAAACTGACAAACGATAGTCCTCATCGAGATACATCGAATGGCTTTTAAATTTTTGAAATCAGTCCAGCCGTTTTTGAGAAAACGTCGATTTACGGCAAAAAATCTGTTCACATACACGCACACACACACACATACTTTTTCCAAATTTGGTCTCATTCGATTCAGAATGGCTTGAAACGTCGAGAAAACATAAAATTAGCGAATCGGATTTTTTGATGAAAACATAAACTTCTCCTTCGGGAAGTTAAAAAAAACTTGTACAAAAATTTAAAAAATTAGTTGGGGTGGACAACCCTCATTTAAAAAATGTTTTTGTAGTCAAATTTAATTTTTTCAAAAACTGCTAGAAATCTTAATATAGATAAAAAAATGATTTGATTATTAAAATTACTATTGCAGAATAGGGGTTTATGGTTGTAGGGTGAAAATTCAGAACTGCACGTGTTTTTCAATTATAATTTCAGTTTTTAATTATTATTTTGATATATTGATAAACTATGATCATAATAATAATTTTGATTTTGTTTCTAGATCGTTTGATTCAGGAATGGCCTAGTCGATATGGAGATTTTCATGTACATAAGGACTAAAAAAATTATTTATATATATACATATAGGTATGTATAAAAGTACTTCATCATATGCAAAGATTAAATCAGAAAAACTACAACTTTTCGTGAGAAAGTTTTACAGGAAGCTTAACAACAATATGAAACACGAGATGAACCAAATATCTTATATATATATATATATATACATATATATATATATATATATATATATATATCTTAGCATGTGTCAAGGGTAGTTGCTGAGTTCATACATCTTTTTTTTATGAAGTATCAAAGTGCTCGAGTGAATGTATTTCATGCTTGCTTAATGTAATTGCAATGCAAACTATATAAAAAAATTCTTTAAAACTTCTTTTCACTAAAATTTATATAAAAAATGGCCTTAAATTCTAATTTCCACTCACAAACAAAATTTCATTTAAATTCGACTGCCACATTGATATTTCTTTTACCCGTGTAAATAATTCCAATTTTATATAAATTAGCAAACATTTTGAGACATAAAAGTCACAAAGTAATTTGAGTCGTCTAATATGTGATTGTATAAAAATTCTATATAGTATTTAAATACTGATAAGGCAGGGATTTTTATTAAAATAATTTTTAAATTATAAAATTCTTTGTCTTTGTGTTGATAAATGTTTATATAATATATTTTTCATACTATATATAAATGTAGATGTAAATAAAAATATAATATAGGCTTATATAATTATATATATATATAATATATATATATATATATATTAATAGATCTCGAGCACATATACATTTTGTATAATAAAATTGTCTTCGATTCAGAATATTCCATTCGAGTTAATTTATTTGTATATGAGCTCGAGGCCTTATAGGTTTCTATAAACAAACCATGTCCATTATAAATTTTAACCGACATGCTCAAATTACAATTAATTTTACTTAAATATATTGATTGTTAGTCGATTAAGAAACAAATTATTAAATTATACAAGTTATTCTAAATATTGGCTTTAATAAGGGTTGTTTTCATATAAATTTGGCTGAAAGCTTTTTCAAATGTTTTATAATTTTGTCATGATAGGTTATAAAATTTTGTCTAGTATTTGATATACGTTTATTTGGAGTCAAATTGTAAAAATTAACAAAGAATTTATATAAATATCTATTATATATGTATATATATACGTGTATATATATATATATATATATATATATATATACGATGACAGTTTTGTCGAATTAAAAAAAAAGATTAAATAACAAAATTATTTATTCCATTGAACGTTTCGACACTTGATGTGTGTCATCATTCAGTAATCTAAAAAACATATTACATAAATACAAAGTTTATGATAAATATAAATATATAAACAGGAGGATATTATACATACCAAACCAGGAAAAACAACAGAAAAAATTAATTATGATATAAAATTGATTGAACACTAAATTTGTGTAATTTTTTTATATATATATATATTTTTTTTTTTTTTTTTTTTTTTTTTTTTTTTTTTTTTTATTTATATATATATACATTATTTTCATATCTCAGTCAAGCAGAGTTGCCTGGTATGAGAGATTATGAAAACAGTTTTCATATAATATATACATTTCATTTGACTATAATATCTATTTCATTAATATAATATCTATATATGACTAAAAATATCTTTATATATAACTCTTCAGTCTTCTTTATCTTCAATTTCCTTATATTTTTTTTTTATTTTTCTTTTAAATTTATCGTCATCTTTGGTCATCTTAATATTGTTTGGCAATTCGTTATATGTTTTGCTGGCACTCCATATGACATTTCTCTGAAATTCTTCTTTCTATTGTGTTCAATGTGAAAATTGTTGTGTTGTCTAGTGTAGGTTCATGTATATCTTGATTTATGTCTATTGTTGTGCTTGTTTTAATTCGGTTAAATTTCATTTGTGTATTAGCATTTCTCTATTTTAATTATGTTATTTAGTGAAAGATTATTTGTTTCTCTCTGTAAGTATTTGGTGGGTGTTAGATGTGGAAATTGTATGCTATTTTGGTGGCTTTATTCATTATTCTCTGTATGTCATTTAAGTTAGCTTTAGTGTTTGGCTCCATGTTGTTATTCCATATAAAATTATAGGTATTATTTGCGTTTTAAGAATTAGTATTTTATTTTTTTTGCCGAAAGAGTGGATCCTTTTCAATGCCCCTGTTAATGTTCCTATTTTTCTTTTTATTTTGTTTATATGTTCTGTCCATGTCAATTTGTCATTTATTATCAGTCCTAAGTATTTTATGCTTTCCACTTCTTCTATTTCTCTATTATTTACTTTAATATTTAGTTTAGTGTTCTCGATATTTTTTTTATGTTTGAAATATATGTAATTTGTTTTATTGATGTTAATTGTAAGTTTATTTTTAGTTAGCCAGTCGGTGTATGTTTTCATGTCTGTGTTTATTGTATCTTCGAGCCTTTTTTTGTCCTTATCTGCATATACTATGGCAGTATCGTCTGCATATAGTATGTATCTGCCCTTTAATTTTACATCTTTTAGGTTATTGGTATATAGCAGATATAATAAAGGACCTAAAACAGAACCTTGTGGGACTCCACAAGTTATGATATGTCCCCCACTTGTGCAATTTCCCACCTTCGTCCTTACCACCCTTTCCACGAGAAAATCTTTAATTATGCTGTAATACAAACCTACTACACCCAAATCTATTAATTTGTTGAGCAATATGTCATGATCTACAGTGTCAAAAGCTTTTTGTAGGTCAATAAAAATTGCAGCTGTATGCATATTTTCCTCAAGGTGCTGACTGATGGTATTAGTCAAATCTATTAGGGCACCTTGAGTATTTGATGAAGGGAGGAAACCATATTGGTGTTTATCTATTTTTTGAATGAGCAAATTTAGTAGTCTTTCTTTAATTATTTTTTCATATATTTTGGAGAATGTATTAGTTATTGTAATTGGTCTGTAATTATTTGGATCTGTTTTGTTTCCTGCTTTAAAAATTGGTTTTATTGTAGCTGTTTTGAGGCACGACGGAAAAGTACCCCTTTTTATGCAGTTATTGATTAAAAAAGTGAGTAGAGGAGCTATTTGATAAATTATTTTTTTATAATTCTTGCTGTTATTTTATCTTCTCCAGGTGCAGCGCTGTTTTTCAGGTTTTCCACAATTTTTATTATTTCTTTTTCATTTGTTAATTCAAAATTTTGTTTTTTGTTTTCAGGTCTAGATATTGATGATATGTAGTTGCATTGATCTAGTTTTTCTTGTAGTTTGTTCCTATTTCGGCAAAATGCTTATTGAGATACTCCGCAATGTTTTCCTTTTCCGTAAGAAATATGTTTTTATCTTGATGTTTAATTTTTTTAATACTGTCTTTATATTCATTTTTATTATTTCCCCCCCTTAATGATTTGTTTATTAGCTCCCAGATTTTCCGAGGATCATTTTCACATTTTTGTGTTTCTTCTAGATAGTACTGTCTTTTTGCTTTGTAGATCATATTTTTTATATCTTTTTTTATATTATTATATTTTATTTTTATCATAAACTTTGTATTTATGTAATATGTTTTTAAATGTGTTGTTTAAATGTGGACGAAAAGTTTAACATTTTTTTCCAAATTACAAAGAAACGGCTCGGCCGATCGTCGCACAAAACTGAGAAGCGATAGTTCTCATTGTGATACACCAAATGGCTTTTAAATTTTTGAAATAGGCTCAGGCGTTTTTGAGAAAACGTCGATTTTTGGCAAAAAATTTGTTCACACGCACACACACACACACATACTTCTTCCAAATTTCGTCTCATTCGATTCAGAATGGCCTGAAACGTCGAGAAAACATAAAATTAGCGAATCGGATTTTTTGACGAACTTTTCCTTCGGGAAGTTAAAAAATGTGTTGTTTTTTTTCTACTTTGGTATGTATTAATATTTATATTTGTTCTAGTAGTAATCTTGTAGTTTTTTTTTCAAAACTTCAATATTTTTTTAGAAATTATTAACGTTCTGAATGATGACACACATACGGTATCGAAACGATAAATAATTTTAATGCATTTTATTTCGACTGTTTGACTGCAAATAAACATTTTAAAAATATAATTCATCATCAAGCAAATTAAATTTCTAAATAGTCATTTTCATATTCGAGACCAATATTTATAAATTTGCCAGCATGTTATTTATATTTATATATATATATATATATATATATATATATATATATATATTGATGTATATATATACACAATTGTATATTTCTATTTCTATTATTATTGTGTAAATATCTAAGCTACAAGAGATTTCCATGTTATTTGCTATTGAAACATAAAGACAGTACTATATATAAACGAATTATTGTTGACATAATAAAATACATAAATAAAATTAAATAAATAAAAATATAACTGTGTTGAACGAATAAATTTATAAAAAAATTAATATCTAGAATTAGTAAATTTAAACGTGCCAATTATATAAAATTTGCTAACTAATGTACTGTTAATGTTGCTCAAAATAAACTATGATAAATATTTATACTCGTTTGTAATAAGATATATATATATATATATATATATATATATATATGTATAAATTAATTTATTTTTAGATATGGTTAATTTAGGGTATATTTTGGCATACCTTAGGAAAAATTGATGTGTTTATGTGGATACAATTTTTTGTCGACGAATTCGGATGCACGGATCAACCGATTTGAACAGTTCAAAAAACATTCGATTCCTTTTTATGGAGGAAATTGGTGATTAGTTTTTGGCAAAGGCAGGTTCAGCCGTTACGAAGATACGGAGCAAAGAGTGCAGAATATACAAATCGAGATTTTGAGCGAACGGAGTGTCCGATTTCAATAATTCAAAAAACGTTCAATTCGTAGTGATGGGGAGAAGTGATTATCTTTTTTGGAAAAAGCAGGTAAAGCCGTATTGCAGATACCGATAGCTAAATATACAAAAAGGGCAGTTTTTGAGAGAACTAAGCATTCGATTTGAATGATTCAAAAAACTTTCTGCTTATGTTAGCTAA